TTTAGGTCAGCGCAGTTTTCTTTTGTCTGAAGTTAGCGGCGAACTAGCGAAACAAGAAGTATTAACTTGCTTCATTTGGCTATTATAAAATATTTCTAATTTCGCATGCACCAAGTCTGTTTAATATTCTTATTCCCTCGACACTTGCATATTCGCATTTATATTCATCATCAGTTTTGATTTCGTTTAAAATTTCAGCGTCAGCCTCTTTTAGTTTATTATACAAAAGGTGTAATTTAGTGCACTTAGTTTTTTTATTGTCAGCTTTCCTGACTAAATATTTGTAACTTGATTAATTTAAAGTAATTCGTAAACGCAGACACATACGTTTCTCTGCGTTTCTTTCTGGAAAAAAAGTTAAAAAAATATCCTCGAATTCTAAAAGAGGTTACCTAAATTTTCTTTGTAGAAACTTAAATAAAAAGTTATTTACAAGATCTTGTGGAAATAAGGTCAGTTTATACTTCTGTTTTAAGATATTTCATGAGTGTTTTTTTCTCCTTAAGTATTGAGCTAGTTCAAGTAATGGATGCTTCAGCAACAAAATGCCGATTAAGACTGCGCTTACTAAGACTTTTAATTGTTTAATGGAAGAATTAGGACAGCAAAAGCCTATTTTTGAAGTTATAACATTTAATTCATTTTATGTGGTGAAACATTCATTTTTTCATACTTTCGCTAAATTTCAAAATACTGAACTTCTAATAATGGAAATTTTACTTAGTGCACTAAGTAAAATTTTGAAACTACTAATCCGTTTTAACCTTCCTAGGTTGTTGATTTATTAACCCTAGTTTAAACTTAAAATCTAAAGTATTAATTTAATAAAACGCTAAAATCACTCTGAACTTTTATTTATACAACAGTTCGTACATTAAACATAAAACATAGCAAGGTAATCATTGTCCATGCGGATCTGGGAATGCTACAATTTAAATGTGTAAAAGCAAATAGTAACTCAAGCACCTAGCATACTGGCTCCCAGGAACATAAGCACGATCTCTAAGCACAAACTCGAGCAAAAAACCAAAAAGACGCACATCGAAAACAGCAGAGTAAAAACACAAGAGGATAGCGTAGCTGGTACTGTTATCAAAATTTTTTCTTTCAACTTACACTCTCGCTTGCTATTTACTAAACTAAGTTAGTTTCAATCTGACTTGAGTTGGCAGAAAAAAAGGGGGTGTAGAACAGTTTTAACAGCAACAACAAAAAAGAATGTTAATTAAAATAACCTCATAACTATACGATATTTATTTCAGTTATTTTTCAATATAGTAGGGAGGGAGAAAATGATATTAATCTTGTAACAAGAACTCATCTTCCTATAAGTTAAAGCTAAAGCAGTAATACATATTTATTTGGAAATTTAATTAAACGAAATGAAAAGCGAAAAGGAAATAACATAACTTTAGACATCTAATTTAATTTTAGTGGAAATAATTAAAGATTCAAAATATTTTCCAAACCAATCATTCGTAAGAATTTTCATATCAAAGCTGTTGTGTGATAATAAAGTACTTCATACTGGACACTCAAGTTATCTGAATTATTTGAAATATCAAAGAAACCGTTGTTGTTCATATCACCAATAAATGATTACTCAGCCTTTTATACAATGTCTCCTTGTAACATCGTAGAGATACCGTGAACGAAACTTGTCACTGAAGGTCTTGTGAATACCTCTTGCGAATAAAATTAATATTACAGTAATAAAGTCTGGAGCTATCTTTTGAGAACATGTCTTATAATACTTCACAATATAATAAACATGTGTTTAAGGGAGAGAATTTTACACATTTTCACATTATTTCTAACAGTGAGATTGGTAAACATGTAATCAGTTTGCTGATTACAAATAGTAAACTGGAATCAAACCAACATCAGCGTGCTCATAGAAAGCATGTATAACTTTGAGGTGTTGTTATTGTCGTATTATTATATTGTGTATAATAATACGACATATGTAGTATGTATCTTTCATAATTCAAGAACGAGTAGCCGTAGAACATTGAAATTTCGTATATGAGACTGCTATAATATGTAGTTGAGCACCTCCCCTTTTTCGTTAGAATCGGCTGCACCAATCGCATATAAATGTAAATATATATATATATTCTCACTCTGTTACCTGGCTCGGTGAGCTAATTTTTTTTTATTCTTATATGTTGGTAAATTGCGCATTTTTTCCTTTAAAAGTGGTTGAATTATGTGCTTTTATGTTCCGGTTAAGGTTTTTATGCTTTTTATTAATCTGTATGTAAGAATTGTAGAATTAAAAACAGTTTAAAAGTTTAAGTGAAAAGTTAAGCCTAACCAACCTCAATTTTTTTACATTTGAAACTCAGCAGAATAGTGACTGAAGTCAGTTTCTGTACCTTCAGTGTCTCTTTTCCCGAGTGGGAACTAGAGTAAACACAGTTTTGTACACCGCCAAATCTGCCTTATTGCCCGCTGGCCGAATTGCTTCTTTTTGTGCAGAACTCTGATTTTAATTGTAAAAAATTTTTTTTAACTGTTTAAACTGTATTTGGTGTTTTATGTTTTCTTGTTTTTTACAATTTTTAATAAAGATGTTTTGAGTTTTTATGTATTTCTGCTTTGAACTGAATTAATTGACTGAAAAATATATCTCTAATAAAATTCGAAGAAATAAGTTAAAATAAAAGGCAACAAAAATTATGTATAACTTAATAAGCCATACAAGGAAGTCATGTGGTGTCCACATCAGATTTTTTAAATTACACATGTTATCTTCGCCAGCGCGATAATCGGGCGAAGAATTCTAAGAATTATTTTGCTATCCATCTGAAGCTATCATGTATTAATTTTAAGAGTTTTGCATCTCATTATTTATTAATTTGCTCACAGGTCTTACTATATTCATACTGTCAGCAAAGAAGGTAATACAAAGTTAGGGCATAATACTATTCCATAATACTTATTAAGTATGACGAATACAGAAATTCAGTTAACTAAAACATCGAAAACTGTAAACCTCGAATGAAATTCTGTATTAGAATAAAATATATAACATCAAATAATAGCTTGAAATTTAGAAGAGCGTATTCTTACACCATGGTTTTCCAAATTTTGAATGTGATTTGCTAAGAGGCCAATACCCAATCATATGTGACAACGTCCAACAATGGCTTGATAGCCGCCATGTTCCACTGGAGTTGTGTCTCTGCGTTTACCGAATTTGAAGACAGTTGAATAAGTATATTTTGAAGTCTTATATACACCTGGCAGCATACTTTATTACTGCAGATGAGTTTTAGCCTCATATCGACCAGAAATCGGTCTACCAGTAGCCAATAACTAAAGCCACTGAATGCTGGTATTTCATTCTGTAATTTATTTTTAATCGAATGTCTGCCTATGTGGGATTTTCTTTTGGTTTTTATATCGAGTGTAATATGAAAACCCAATAGCTTCTCTTCAAAAGATCTTTCATGAAGATTTCTGTTTTGATAGAAAGCCACAGTGTAATATGTCATGGTTAAATCAACAAACCAATACATTATGCATGGATTGATATGACCTAAATCCACATCTTACTTCTCTTCCTTTCCAAGTAAACCATCTACCAATGGTCATTACCATCGTAATGGCTACTCGAAATACATATTATTTTGTTATCTTCAATTATAATATAGTTATCTTTGTAACGAGTTACGTTTTGAATAAATACTTTCCCGCTTTCTTTCCTTTTTTGTTTGTTGTTGTTGCATAGTAAGGTTATTATTTAAATTAACCAGTTATTTATAATTTCAGCCATCATTATAACTTCTCCGTTCCATTTCCTCACTAGAATGTAAATAAATTAAATAATATTTAAACTGAGGTTTTTTGGATTGTGGGACAGAGTGTGTTTCTGACTTGCGCTTGCAGGCTACTTTCAGTTCCTGCCAGTTTTGATAGTTTGAATTATTCGGCTTTGCCTTATTCCGCTGCTGACAAGTTGATTTTGACCCTCCGGTTAGAAATACTCATCCAACTTAGACTATATTTAAATTGTGTAGTCTTTTACTACTATTTCATGTCTTAACGTAAATCTGACTGTTTCTGTTTAGTTGCCTCCAGTACGAGGTGTGACTGACATTGTTAATACAAGAAAGGGCATTTATGTTCAAAATTCTGCTTAATAAAAATGTTTATTAAAATCTTTTCATGACTTGTAGTAATTCGCTTCATGTCTGATGCGGTTATTAGTTCCAGATCAAGTAAAACCTCATAGTATTTCTAATATAGCAATATAGCACATATCTGAAATTTCGTTGTCTGGTTAATCAAATCCTCAACTATTAAAAATAAAACTTAAAAAAAAAAAAGAAGTTATTTTCAACTCTGATATGCTACGTAGAATCTTTAAGTAGTCTTTTACGAATTCCTTCTCTTTACTTTTCAATTTTGCATTCCTAAAATAATATATATTTATTTTTCTACAAGTTTACGCAAAATTTCCATAAAATTAATACAACTAGCAAAAATACAGAAAAGGAATATTAATATTAACTATGATCATATAGGTAAAATAAATCCTACTTCGTCATCCCTGTCGAAAACTTTGGAATTATTATTACAAGAATATCCTGGTTAAAACACTATCCTCACAATTCTCAAGACTCAGGGAAATTTTCAGTGGACTGAATTTACAAATGAAAGCATTTCTTGACTCACCAAGCACTAAAAAGATCCAGTAGTTAAAGCCACTAAACACTAGTAGTTCGCCTCATCTGAATAGTGAATTCGCGGAATCTGAATAGGCTAGCTGTAGTTTTTTTTTAAAGCTTGCTCATATTCTAAAATAAATACCAACCAAATTGTATTTTAGTATCTAACACGAATGGATTTCTCCTTTAAAGAGATAATTCTTGCAAGCTTGGCTATAATGAATTAATCCAGCCCCGATGTGTAAATTTATACATAAAATACATATAATTCCTGCATTTGTTATTCCAGAGGTAGATAAATATTTTTTTTATTTTTATTCTTAGGTGTTTAATCCTTCAAAATGCAGATGCGAATGCAAAAACTCTGAAAATGCTGAAAGCTGCCATAAGATTGGAAAGTTCTGGGATTCAACCAACTGTGCATGTATTTGTCCTTTCGATATTCCTCAAATATGCTCTACTGGAGCATTCTTTCATAATGGATTATGTCGGTATGTAAAATTCTTAGTGTAATAGTAGATAATATTATATTTTTTAATCTATTAATAAGAAAAGAATGTTTGAAAATTTTCTGTTGTATGCAAAGTTTAGAATAGTTTCTAGTGATGAGTCAATTAAGCGATGATGAAGCACAGTTTGCCTCTCGCATTGTTGCCTGTAAATAGGTAACCTTAAACAGTAGTTTTAAGAAGGGCACATAAACAGAATCTCTGTCGAGACGCAGAGTTTAAATTGGGCCGGAGTCCACCAGAGCCTTAAATATTAAGGCTCTTGCACTCTTTTAATGTAACTGAACAGCAATTTCTGTAAAAATCTGATCTCGAAAATTTTATTTTTAATAATAAAATTATATTAAAAATCGATTCTAACTTCTGAATGCATGCTTCTCTTTCCTTGAGAAATAAACCCTTGGATGAAGGTCGAAACTTTTAAGGAAAGAAAAGCCCCCATCTACATCTCAAAGGCTTATTCTCCAGAAAGTATAATGAATTTATGATAGTGGGTAAAATTTTCGTCTCAACGCTAGTGTCTTCCCGCGGAAAAGAACACCTGCAGACTTCCTGAAACTATGTAATCAAAGAAGGGGGATTAGAGTTGTCACTTGCTACTCTTTTTTCAGCTAACTTTAGGATTCGGTGAAAATTTGCTCTCCTGTCATATTCTGCTTGAAAGCTAGAATTATACTGAGAAGAGATCGTTGTCAGAAAATGTTGGATTCTCCTGAAAAAGAAGGATAATTTTTAGTTTCATATTTTTTATTAACTCATAAATTTTTAGAAAACAGAACAAGAAATTTAAACAAAACAAGAAATAATTTTTGCTATAAGAGTATCAGACTAACAAAAGGGAAGAAAATAATCTCACATTTAACTTAGCAATGTTTTATAAATAAAGTAATGCAGTTACTTATCTTCCTTTTTCTATTCTTTTTTTAGATTATACTTTTCATGAAAAATGACCAGTAAAACTTTATAAAAAAATTATTTATTAACATGCGGGTTGGTGGGAATTTGCCTGAGATACCTCCAAACGAAAGTGTTGGGTGATTTCATCTGGTTCTAGCCAACAGAGCTGTGCTAGCTATACTATTAAGCCGATAAAGTTCGTCAATATATGTGCGATTACGTATATTACAGTTTTTATATAATTGTTGACTATTGAATGCTACTGGAAGTTCCGAGCAATTATCTAGAAAACTGTTGAATTGGTTATAAATACATAGATTCGTCTACAAAAAAAGTAAGTTATTCCAAAACAAAAATTAATAAATTAAATAACTAATAAATTCACCATTGACATTTCAAAAATTTTAAGTTGTCTTGTTATTCTTAGTTGTTTTTAAGCTGCTAACTTTCCTGTTCCTTTTACTAACTTTTCCTCTTAAAATTTCCTAACTACTTTGGCTATTGGAAAACGCCTTAAGAGTTCTGCTGTAGAAATAAATAAATGTGCGTTAATCGGGTGGTTTTATTGTTTTTTTCTATCAGTTTAACATTTTTGGTCCCATTACTGACTCTTTTTTGAAAACTAATAACATGTTTCTTTCAGGTGTGTACCAATAGGAGGCCCAGAAATTGAAAGCCGAAGACGACGACCACCTGTTTAACTGGAAAAAAAAAACCACACTCTACCGGTCCAAAGAAATTAATAGATACAATTGTATATTGCTTAAGAAATCATACAATTCTCATGATGATTTAGAACTTCACCTGATAAGAAATCAAAATATCATGAACTCTCCAACGTTCTCATATATTCTCAAGAAGAATGTTCATCTTAAATCATCTTTCATCTATAAGGTGGAAAAGAATTCAAAATAAATAAATAATATTTCAAATAATAAATATCAAGTGTGGATATGTAAATATGAAATGCTGTACAGAAAACATTTGCGATCGTAAACGGGGGGGGGGAGGGAAAACTTCAAAATTTGTAAAAGCCTTTAATGATCTAGTTTAAATAAAAGGCAAACACACATAATAAATCAGATTCATAGTCTTATATACAAAACAGAAACATATTAATATCAAATACAAAATCAGGCAAAAATCCAAACTTAGACTGACGTCGGTTCTGTTGAACGACTGATTTTGAAAGCAGAAGAGAAGAGTGTCATCCTTGTTCAAGGCGAAAGTATTTTTGATAAAACTGTTTTGGTCTTTTTTTTTTTTTTTTTTCAACTTGAAGAATAGGAATCTCGTGCTTTCACCCTCTAAATCGATAATGCCTTCTGAAAACAAGTATCAGTTTAATGCTGATTTTTGACTAATTTTACACGAATCTTCATGTAAATTTGAGGATAGTTATGTCTCAACCATTCCCCCCTCACAATTAAAAGTCTCCTAAAATGTGAAGCATATTGAATTAAAAGGAAATTTAAAACATGAAACCGACTGGGACATTGGACATTCTAATTGCTTTACCTTAGCAACCGGAATAATGAAAACTCACTCTCTAGGGCTAAATAACAATATTCATCCTACGCATATAAAATAATAAAAAAGAAATATACAAACTACAGCAATATGTAAAAACTTTCAACGTCAAATAAGGTAAAAGAAAAGAAGCGATCATATCTGAACAGTTCGCTCGCTGAAGGCTCAGGGGCGAAGCACGTTAAATCAGGCCCCTGGACATAAGCCGCATAACATCGTATGGAATGGCATGACTTTCCTACCATAGCATAGTTCTTAATTGAGAACAAATCTCGTGAATTGCAGTGAGGAGCCTTGCCCACATACAAAACGTCAAGTCAGTTACTCCGGCGTCGATATCTGATGGTGTAAAAATGTAATTTAGCTAACGTGACAGCAATTATAGAAATATGAGACATATCTAAGTTGTCGCATGCTACAGTCTTGGCTGTTGGCGCTCAAATGGACGAAGAAGGGTCAAAGAATATGTATTGTTAAGAAGGAAAGCTTCGCAACAGTAGAAGTAGCTCCCTTCGAACAAAAAGGGAAACCGCTTCGCATGCGTGAAATATCTGTTGCCAAAAAGCGCCAAAGCTCGAAGCTGATGTCGAAGTTCGAACAGGTTCGACGGTCACGTTTATCAAGAGTTTAAAGCCTGTGTGACTCATTTTTTCCCCTTCATATTGACGGATATAAAATCAGGCATCAAACTGCGATATGCGATGAGAATCGCTACTCAGACTGAATCTGCTCTCATCTGTAAAGAGTACTCGTCCCCATTCATTGTCTCTCCAATTCCGGTGTTCCCGGCACCACAGAGAACGCCTTCTCCGATGGGCAGGCGTTAGAGGTACACACCGTACAGGGCATCGTGCAAACAGACCACCACCGTGCAGTCTTCTGGCCACGTTAAAACGCGATATCGGTCTTCCAGTCGCCTGTGTCGTGTGTCTAGTGATTTCTCCCGCTGTTTGCCGCCTTTTTCTTCTGGCCTGTAAGGCAATATACCGGTCATCTGTGGCTGTGGTTCCTCGTGGACGACCACTACTAATCCCCCGGATAGCTGTTCCTGTAGTTTGAAATATTCTCCAAAGTCGTGAAACGATGCTGTGAGCAATTCCGAACTCTGCAGCCACACTTGTCACACTGCGGCCTTCCTCCAACTTCCCAATGATTCGACCTCGGGTAAAAGCATCCAGATGTCGTCTAACAGATTGATTATTCGCCATTTCTCGCTGAGGCAGCAACTCGGTGTGGTTTTAACTGCTATACGGCGTGCAATCTCTTTGCCAGAAATACTGATCTTACACCGACAACATGCTTTATACTACTCAGATACTCCCCCATTACGTCTACCTGCATATCTGCGCATGTGCTACCGTACATCACCTTACTTAATCTCCTGATTGGTCTTTCTGTCCACTCTGCTTCTTCGTTCAGCTCATATGCTAATTTTTCGACTTCGTCCTTAATGTTTGCACACCAGTGTATTGTATAAAAAGGTAATACCCAAATATATAAAGCTATACTATGACACAGTATTCAAATAATTGTAATGAAACTCAAAGGAACAGTTCCGAGGAAGCGAAAAGAACAAATAATCAAGACTCCGCAGGAGCCAGATTTTAAAGAGCAAATAATGAAGATACCGTCGGAATCAGATCCAATCACGACTCCGAAAGACCCAGATCTGCGACTAGTGTCGGAACGCTGACAGATGGGAATCCGAGGATCTAGTTCCTATATCCTACGTACTTTAAATAGATCTTCGCATTTCCAGATGGAGGGGGGAGTACTCCCTCCATTTGAAAACAAGAGTGATCAATTTTGCTGAGATGCGTCAGTTTATTTAATGTTTTGTTTTTTAAATACTATATGGAATACAAGCAAGCCAAAAGCACATATATATATATATATATATATATATACATATTTTATTTCACAGACTTAAATCTCGGATTTAAATTTAGACTTCTTTATTTTGGTATTCCCGATTTCGAGGGATTTTACTGCACCCACATGCCAGATTAGGTTTAACATCTCATACATATAAGCAGTTGCAATGACTTGAAATGCACTTATAACAAAAAAAATCGACGCACCAAGAAGAGTTATCCGATGGAGACAAAAATTGGTGGATAGGAACATTATGTATAGAATAGAAAGTTATTAAAATTTCAGAACAATTGAATGATTTATTTCAGAGTTAGATACAAAATAGCGAGCTCAATAAGATGTTGCCCACCTGATGGCATAGACTGATGAAACTCCCGGATGCTCTCCTGCGGTATTTCTTTCCAAATTTCCTCCAATTTTACATTTTACGGTATCCTCTGATAATTTTTACAATATTCTTATTTACGCATTCCGCTATATTCGATTGCGATCTATATGGTACCATTTTTAGATGGCGTATGCGAAGTCCTGCGCACAAATTTTTAAATATACTGCTAACAAACTGTTTTCTGTTATCTGATATTACTTTTAGTGGGGCCCCGTATTTTAAAATATATTTATTTAAAAACGAATCTGAGACTATTTTAGCTGAAGCTCGTTTAAGAGGGACTATTTCTACCCATTTTGAAAAATAGTCAACAATTGTTAATAAATATCTATTTTCATTTATTTTTGTCCTAGGGTAGGATCCAAGCAAATCTATGCCAACTATTTCATTTGGGAAAGTGGTCTTTATGTTTTTTAAATATTCGGCCGGACTGTAATTAACATCGTTTATTAACTGGCACATATGGCACTACTTAACTGACGCCATAACAACTCTTTGTAACTGCGGAAAATAAACCGCTTCGCGTACCCTCTTTAGTGTTTTTCGAATTCCGAAATATCCAGCGGACGTTATATCATATAATTCCTCTAAGATACTTAAACGTAGACTCGCTGGAATCACTTGTCTGTATTCCTGATTATCATTTGTTACCTTTGTATAAAATAACAGTTTGTCGATTATTTCGTAATTTTGTGCCCTATTGCGAATAGCCGTTAAATCTATATGCTCAAACCTTTTAGGGTTTTCCAGGTATGCATAAATATCTTTAAATTATGGGTCTTTTCTGAATTCTTCAACTATTGTATCACGATACTCAAGAACTCTTGAGGTGAGCATAGCACACTTAATTGTATTTCCCTCTTTATCAATTTTTATTCTTGAAAGTGCATCGGCAACTACATTTTCTTTTCCATGCGTGTGTTTTATAACTAAATTGAATTCTTGTAACTTTAAAGTCCACCGTATCAGGCGAGGCGATAAATTTTTTCCTGAATACAAGCGACCCACTGCCGCATGATCTGAGTAGACCATTATCGATGAACTTCCGAAGTAGACACGAAACTTCTGAACCGCTAATAAGACAGTGAGCGTTTCTCGCTCTGTGGCGGGTATATTCACAAATCCTACAGACCATTTCTTCTAGGGTCTGCTCTCATTCGATGAAACATCTGCTTGTCGGTCATATTTGAATGGCGAGTTATCGCCTTGTAGGCGTGGTAAACCTTGTAGGCGTGGTAAACCTTGTAGGCTTTCAGTACAGCGAGGAGAAAGAGCGTTTATTTCATTCGATAATTTTTTATTTAATGAATGAAAACTAAGGGGAAGTGTGTGGAATATATTTTAAATAACCTACTGATCTTATTAATAGTTTATTTGTATTTGAATTTAAACTGTTAAAAGTACGATAATTGTTTTGCAAGAAAAAAATGTTTACAATCAATATAATCAATCAATTCAATAAACATTTAAGGACGTCGGATATCTATTCTTTTAATCTAAATTATGAGTAAATATAACTAAAATTATATTTTATTCCGTTATGCGCTGTTCCTATTGAAACGCTTTTCGAGATCATGGATCATAATCTTGCTACTGGTACCTACTACAAAGAGTACAAACCAGTAAATAAAAATAAGAAAAATTAGCATTAACAAAAGTAGAAAAAATGAAGGTGCTAAATTTTTAACGCCGCACCCGAAGGCGAAAAGACCAATAATGACAAAGTCATTAAAGAGGGACAGTGGCGTAGCTAGGGTGGGGCAAGGGGGGACATCTGTCCCCGGGCGCAGCATTAAAGGGGCGTCAAACTGATGCTACGAAATTTTTAAATGAAATGATTTCCATTCTTGGCACATAGAAAGGTGTGCAAATTCTTCAGTTGTCCCCGGACGCTAGGAACTCTAGCTACGCCCCTGAATAGGGATAAAAATAAATTCATCCAGGACAGAGTTCGTAAAAGTCATGAGCGGGAATAGAACCGGCGATCTGGAAATCCGAGAAATTTTTCCATCCTCGTTGCCGTACAAAATCCTTTATAAACATTCTATAATAGGCCCAAAAATGAAGACAATTTTTTAGCGTATTTGGGGGAAGGATAACTTTTAATTGCTTTTATTTTTGAGTCATCAGTCTCTATGCCCTTATT